ACAATACAGCACGCAGGTGTTTTTATTTTTTAATAAAGAGAATGTAATATCTGCTATTTTTTTGGTGTTTGTATTTTGAGAGAAAAAGGCCCGATTAGCATTTGACCTATCATGCAAAATGCACTTTTGTACATCTTTTATACATAAATATGTGTCCCCGGTGTTCTAGGGAACTCACCAAGTGTCAGAAAACACAACCCTCTCTATTTTCCTCCATACCCAAATCTCTTAAAAAGGGGCTGCAACGGATCTGATACAGACTGATCCAGATTTGAACACTTCTATGACGTCACAGAAGTGGTGCTACGGCTATTGGGCCAACTCCACCAATCAGGAGGAGACAGCCACGGACATTGCCGTTGGAAAGCGCTGGAGACGCTGTAGTACATATACCAGGCCTGTAGATGGTAATGTTCTCACAGAATCAGCCCATGAAAAGAGAGTGTTAAATTGAGCAAAATGAGGAATGGCTAAAATGCGTGATCTGTTTGGTATTTTGAAAAATAAAAAGTATAAATATGCATTATATAGGTATGGTCCTACACTATATTATTCAAATATAGCATGATAGGTCCACTTTAAGCCCACTGAAGGCACCACTCTCATGGTGGCTTACTAAATGTTTCCAGAAGAGGCCACTAGGTGTCAGGATTTATGGGAATGTGTTTTTCTGCAAGATACTATCACTTAGTGGCCAATGCCACCCTTTTTTTTACATGTACATCTATGTGAGCACAACACATTTCACCATGACCCTGGGTGAATTCTTTCTGCTAAGCCCTCCGGTTCCTATTACACTCCGCAACAACACGTCACGGCATCTGTATGCGTGTCTGAAAAGGTCATTGGACACCAAAATGGAGTATTGTGTTTCTTCGTGGCATTTCTGTGCCTTTCCGTCACATCGTAAAAAAGCTTCTTGGCTGGATGCTCAAAGTGCCATGGTGTCTGAATGTTTATCTATAGGCATAAGTTGGCTGTGTCAGCTGGTCTTTTAATAGCAGGGATTGCAGTTATCTTCCGTCACTACTTGGGGCTTGTGTGACTGTCTCTGAAGATGAACATGTCTTTAGGGGTGTTGATCCATTAATGTCCCTTTATGGCAATGACTGAGCAATATTATGTTTGTTTAAAATATATTAAGAGACGTCATTGTAAAATGTGCCAACAGCGTACATGCCAAACCTGTTTCCTGCCCTTAATTTGAGAGGCAAATATTGTCTGACTGATCTAGTCTTAGTAAGCAGGAGCACCATGCATGTAGTAGTTGCTGCATGTGTGTGTCTGAATGTGCATGGCCTACATCTGTAGACCACGTTTATTTGTGGAAGTTTGTGCAGCCGTGCGTGTTAATGAATCTGTGAGTCAGCTTTCATCTCCACTCTCAGTTGAGTCGGACAGAAGCTGGGGCCGGCTCCAGGGCAGAGTCACTGTGAAGAAGAAAAGCAGAGTAAAAATAGAGCGGAGACAACAGGAATATTATTTTTATAAGAAGATCGGGAGAGGTGAAAGTGTGCTGGAGGTGAAGACATGAATTTAAAAGAAAAAGCCATCGTGCGCACAAGTGGACACGCAAAGACTCAAACAACACAACAGTGGCACGCGCATTATGTAAGCACCGGGTCTCAGCTTGTGTCATGCCCTGGGCAATTATTCAGTTGAGAGGACATCTCCCATCAAGTCTACTTAATCTAAGAGGGCTTATTGACTCCCTGCAGGCACCAGGGGGCGCCAGCTCTAGAGCTCAAGCAAAATGGAAATGTCTCGTGTCTATTTGCAGATGTGTAGCAGCAAGATGGAATTTTTTTATCTCCCAGTGACAATATGTGAGAGGTGGTCTTGTGGTAGTTAAGAGATGTTGTCAAGGTTGTTTGTGTGTAAGAGTCAAAATCAAGTGCTCTTGAAGTGGGTAACATTCCCTGATAAAACCTGATTGTTATTAACCCATCAGTCAAATTCACAAGTACATTTTATGGTAAGATAGTTTTACATTGCAGTAGAATGTACAGTGTCCTATTAAATTGGCCCCTTGGGGTTTATATATACACAGTTATTTAAAAGTATGTAATATATATATATAGGAATGTATAACATTTCAACATCGTAACTCTCTGATTTAATTGTTTTCACAGTGTTATCATATTATTTTAAAGTTCACCATATCCGTCCATGGGATACATTTTTGAAAAATGTTAATATATAATTATTTTTATAATTAAAAAATAATTTGATCCTGTTTTTACTATCCAGGCTCTGTGTAGGTTTGAACCCAAAAATGGTCTCTTTGCACACCCACACTCTGCCTACGACTCAACATGATGGATGGTGTTAATCCTGAATGGTAACAGATGATTTATATTACAGTATCTGATACAATACCTAAGATGGATAAAACTTAAAGAGAGTTCTGTTGATTCACCTTAGATGTGGTGAAACCTAATGCCACTGGAGGCAGCCTTGAGGGGAGACGGAGGGACGGGGTGAGGCAGTCCCCACATGGAAGTCTGTCTTTGGGGCCCAGAGTTGGGGAGATTATTCTTCGGTAGGGCGAGGGGAAAGTCATGGAGAGAGAGGCTGGAAGTACAGAGCTGGGGGAGGTATTTTATATCTTAGGCTATTGTGCGTCATACATGTGGATGGACATTAGCATTTGAAGGTCTTGGCTGTTCTCAATGAAAAAAGCTCACTTTGTTCTACCATCTGATAGGATCCCCTTTTGACTGGCTGTGATTAAGGTGCAATGCCTGATAGAGTTGGAGGAAGAAACGCTTCCGTCTGCTCCGGAGTTACATTTCAGAGCCCTTACTAGGATCAATTGAAATGACTAAGTGGAATGTATTCCCCACATTCCTGGACAAAGATGGTATAGAAACCCTATCCATAATATGGGTTTGGAATACCATCAGTGCCATTTGTAGTTTTGGTGTATATCAGTGTCAGTGCTTCTAACTTCTTCCTTTTTAAGAAATTGTTAATTTAGAAAACTTTAAATACTGCTCCCCTTGCACTTTATTTAAAGCCTGAGAAAATTCCCCATAAATCAAGAGCTGTTAGTCAAAGGCAATATGTGTAAGATGAGCTGTTTTGACTTTATACAAGTTGGACATTCCCTTAAAAATGCAGCTATTTGGCCTTGTTTTATCTTAGATATAAGGACAATTATTCAATTCAAAAAGAGAAAACAGATTAATAGTTACAGTAAAAATCTGATTGAGTTTTACCCTTCAGGTCCACGGCTGGGAAAGCTTCTCTGTGTCATAATGTTCAATGACCTACTATATAATTATAAAAACTGGGACAGGAGGCATTTTTTAAAATAAGTGAAGCAACATGGGACCACCAAAGATCAAATATCTCACTTATCCTGCCCTTGGTTTACACTATAGAAAGAGGGCACCTGTGAAAGTAAACTCATCAGGGTCTTTTTAATGTAGTTGGAGGATATTAGCTTAATCAGATCCCCTCTGGTACACCAGATTACAGTAATCTTATTAACGTAACTGGATAATTATCATTTTCTATGATAAACACTGCACTCAGGAGGTAAGTAGCAGATAGAGGTACACGTTCAAACACACACAGACACACAAAGGCTACATAATGATCATAATCTAAATTGCATTACATTTCTTTCAAAAACTTGATACAAACATCCATTCCCCTTTATGTTCTTTATAAATATAAGTAGCATGTTACACAAGTGATCCAAATATGTTGAACCCTAAGCCCCTGCCTATGGAATATGAGTCATTATCCATGTGCCATAATGTCAACTTGAAGTGTCCTCGCTCTTCGTGTCCCATCTCTTCAGTATCTCCCTCTGGCTCAGTAGTAACGTAATGGCATTAGCACAATCCTCTGAGCTGCACAGGTTATTTTAGGATTGTACAGTGCAGACAATCTAATGAGAGTGACAAGAGAAAAACAATGATACAGAGAGATGGTTGCTGTTGATATGAGAGTTCTGTATCGGCCTATTTAATGTTCTGCATTTAGGCTCAGTCGAGTCAGAACTGCAGTTTCAACAGCATGTTCAAAAACCTAGAGTGTTGTGTTTGTGTACGACAGAGAGACAATCAGACCAGGGATAAAGGAGAGGCAGGCATAGAGCCAAGGTGCCATGTGGCATGAGAAAACAGTTTGAGTTTGGCCCGGGTTTACTTACTCCCCCTCCGCAAACGCAGGCTGGAGGGCAGGAGAGGCGAGGGAGTTAGAGTTTCATGCACAGCTCTGTTCCCAGCTCATTGTCCTTGCTGCTGCTGGACTGCCAGAAACGTCAGGTTTCTACTCACCTATCTTCTTCACATGACACTTTTTCACATCAATGGGAGACTTTTACCATCATTTGAGAAATGGAAACCTAGATAGTATATGTTTTTGATTCCCAATATCACAGATGTGCCTCTGGGTGCATTACAATCTGATTTGGAGAGGGAACATTTTCAAAAACAACATCTTTAAATGGTCCGTCTCACATGATATGTGGAACAGTTGTTCTGTGTGCAGAAGAGACATCATAAAAACGCATTATGCTTAGAGAATCAATATGCCAAAATGATGCACAGATTGTGCAATGAGGATGTCAAGCTTTCAGGTTTCTGCAACAGAGCATGAGCCAAACAAACTCCTATCCAAAATATAACCTGGAAAAAAGAACCAAAACTGAAGCACATCATGTGATATGAGAAGGAAATAAACACAGGAGGAGAGAGACGTGATGAGATAGTGGATAGTTGCATTGCATGATATGTGTGATGATGTCAGTATCGTCATATTTCCACTGGGCACTGTCTGAGCAGGCTGCTTTCTAAAAAGGCAGATAAAGGGTGCTTAATGTGAAACTGCGTGCTGGGCTTTAGTTGCATAACAGACCATATGTTGATGGCATAGCATGGTTTATAGGCAAGCCATCGTGTTTATCTGCTTGTAAGTAAAAACATGAGAGGGAGGGAACGATGTGGAGAGAGATGGTAGCAGGCGGAGGGGGCGTTTATCTTCTCACTAGCTCATGGCCAGAGAGCGCAGTGGCACTGGGCTGCTGAACCGCTCTGTTTGTCGTTAGAGCACCGTCTTTACTATTTCCAGTTCCACCCTGCGGCTATTACGCGCTGAACCTGGACTAACGTTACATGTTTCCTTTTGGCCTACTCGGTATGTATTAGTCCTCATATCCTGCCGCAGAGGACACCATCGTGTGATGACCCGCACAGACCTGCAGGTAAGCTGTGCTTGTGTGGGTAACATGGAATTTATAACAGCGGTGGAGAGGCTCCTATGCGGCGGTGCTTTGCGCAGTGACCCACGAGTGACGTCTCTACCTGAGCCATGGTACCCGTCTGTTCGGGTTTACAGCGACTAATGTAACACTTCACATTTCACCTGTTCCGTGGTATTGCTTAGATTGTGTGCTTTGTTACCAGAAAGAGCGTTTTATAGCTTCCCTCCTGTCTGTATAAGCTACTGTTGTGGCTTCGTGCTGTTGGGAGGGTAACGTGCGCAGTAACGCCGTTACTGCTCTTCGTGACCAGCAGCGAATAACGTCATCCTATCCTATGATTGTAAAACTAACCCTCTATCTAAGTGAATATGTATTAAATACAGACACATGTAGAACTCTATATGTTAGCTTACTTCTACCAACGTTACCTTTCGACTAAACTTAATTATTAACTTAAATGAATTAAGATACAACACTCGTTACGTTAACTTGGTAGGCTAGTTAACTACGGATAGCTCACTTAAAAATCACTTGTATCAGGGTGTAATGTAGCCAATAGGATCTATAATGGAAAAGGCTATGACTGCGCATTTGACGCTGAAATTGAACATTTTATTCAGTTCCATGGGGATTATAGTAATATATTAAAAATGCCTAGTTTGCGTGACACATGATGCACATCGGCCATGCGATTAAACCAGTCCCCTAAGGCGTTTCATTAACTTGCATGTCAAAACTGAATGCAAATATCCCAGGAAATGGAAAAGGCGTGTCCCTCCCGAAAGTGGGGAAAACTTTGGTGAAATGGCAACAAGTGGGGCTCTATTTCGGCTGGCAGGTGTGTGTGTGTGTGTGTGTGTGTGTGTGTGTGTGTGTGTGTGTGTGTGTGTGTACACGTACACTGGTCCTATTTAACAGGGGTAGTTCAACACACATCAACATGAAGGTAGGGCTAGAAGATCTGGATTCACCTGTTCCTCATCAGGGGTTGAACCCAATGGTTGAACCTGACTCATTGAGAGCTGCTCCAAAGTGTTTCTGGATGTAATGCCGAGTCCTGCCATAAGATCCCAATTTAAAAGAAAAACAGCATACCCTAAACCACTGACAGGAGAAAAAAGGCCCTATCTAATGTAAAGCAGCTCAAGAGAGATTTATTGGCTGCTTTGATAGTGTGTTCCCAGGGAAGATGGCTTTTGAAAGGTTAAAAGGGTGTAACAGTACACAGGATGATCCAGAACTGCATTATGGTATTACGTAGCCTATAAATGTCCTACTTTTGAAGACTTATCCTGTTAAAAAAGTGATAATTCATTCATATGTTGGGCAAGATACTATTTAACTGGCAGTATAGTAAGAACAAATACCTCCTAATTTTAACAGCAGTCATAACACACTTCCAAGAACAGACAGTCCAGTACTCCCAGAGAAGTGGAAAATAAACCATAAATCAAGACAAAGGTGAAGGACTAAACCACTGAGCACTAGACCTGATCTGTCCCTAAGCTCTTTTATGGCACCAGATCTTTTTGGCTGGGTATACCAGGTATTCATAATTACATTTTTATGAAGTTGTAAATATGCACCAAGGACTTGTGGATTCATGTACAATAACATAATTTATTGTTTATATAAATATCATCCACTACCTAACAGTATACATTATTGATTGTTGTTATAGAGTTGTACATTTGCAACTAAGACATTGATGTACGAGTTACTAATTTATTTTTTATATACAATCCACCACTTAACACAGCAGTGGTTTTATTGCATCCAGCTGTGACGAAGTGAGAGTCTCTGGTTGAAGTGGACCTGTGGTTTACTCCCCCAATCTGGTTATGCCTGTAATCTCTTTCCTGAAAGTGTTTTGTGGCTCAACATGGTTTAGCAGGTGTTTCATTCAGTCACCAGACCTTTATATCTGTCAGGGTGTGTTTCTTGGAATGTGTGAGGACTAATTTGAAGTTCTGAAAACACTTATTCATATACTAAATATGTGTAGACATGTTTGAGAAGGTACACTCTATTTACATGGTCATGGTCCTATCATATGCCAGTATTTGTAGCCTGTGTTTTACCCCCTTGAGTGCATCGGGCTGTGTCTGTCAAGACCTGTGTGTGTGTGTGTGTGTGGAGTCCCAGTGCCGTTAAAGTGCCTCACCCTTAAAGGCTGACCTTCAGCCTTTGATCTGTGGCTTGCATGAAAGCGGAACATCAGTCAAAGATGTTGCGGGGCTCAGCACTTTTAAGCTGGACATCCTCTTCGACTGGGGATCAAAAGCATCCTCGATTGGTTCTGGAGCCTCCTCTCTTCCATAAGCATGACCCCGCTGTGTGGTCCGATACTCCAATGGAGTTTTGACACCCCCCGAGGCAGTGAAGCGCCACGAGAGAGGAACCTATAACAGTCGTTGGTTTGTGCTAAGAGCTAAATGGACAGCTTTAGTGTAAGGCAGATGTCTTGAAGTTGGATGACCGCCTGGAAAACTTCCTGCTGAATCTATAATGCATGTCGAGAGCTCGTATATCTCCTCATATATAAATCAACTTCATTTAAAGTAGTATTAATATATTTTAATGTATTAGCCGTATTTAAAATAAGCAAGAAAATATGGTGGGAGCAGTCCATATGTTTTTTCAAGGTGTGGAATTTTGTAACGGTCAATCCTGCGACCTCCCCCACTACCAGCATACCACCATAACCGCACATACTCCCTCACCCATTTCCCCTCACTGTTTTTCTCTCTCTATCTCACGTACACACAAATTCACATACATACACTGCTTTTACAGTCTCACCTCTCTCTACGTAGCACAGTACAAACAAGTTACACATCTGTATGGCAAGTAATACTTAACTGCTCTGTTAGACTGAGAAGCCGTTGCTGTGCAGAAGTCCACAGTGACGAACAGCTCTACTGGTTTAGTCCAGTCTCCTTTTTCTTTCTGTCCAATTTTACTATGAAGAAACCCCGATGCAGCAACCCTCTGACCCTGTAATCTGAATCTAAATATCAAATTCTTGGTCTTATTGTTGTTGAGAGACTTGTATCTTTTCCTATTTTCCTCTGCACTCCTCACCTTTTTCCTCCCCATCGTCATCGCAAGCTTTCCTTCTTAGCTGAGGGCCTCTCAAATCATCCCTGACTTTGATTGTTAAATCCTGCTCATCAGAGAGCAACCTTGACATTGGATACCATGAGCCAACTCAGGTATTGGACACTCTGACACACAGCAGCATGTTTCCTCACATATACTGATGGGGACCATGGCTGCTAGCATCGATGGCAATGATGGTCAGTAGGTAGACTTCCTCGGTCCAGACTGAAATATCTCAAGAATTACTGAATCGATTGTCATTAAATGCAGGACAGACATCTGTTGTTCCCGAAGCATGAATCGTACTGACTCTTGTCATCGCCTGAACATTTGTGGCAGTTTTTTCTGAGTGAAGTGTCTCATCAACTTTAAGAAGTCCTTTCTTTTCATGAGATTTCATGTTAATTTCCATGTAAATCTGTAACAAGTCTGTTGACCACTCGACCTTCTATGTAGTGCCATCATCAGGTATACTTTTATTTTGTCCAATGCTTTTGTTTTTCGATGATAAACCTGAAAAACTAAAAACGTTGTTCTCAGCCTCCGCTGTACTTTTTTGTCTGCTGCTAAGTATCAAATGTTCAAAGCCTAGCACTCTAAACTAATATTGTGAACATGGTAAACACTCCCTGCTAAATGTAAGTGTTAGCAATTTCATTGTGGGCATGTAACCAAGCCAATGTTAGCATTTAGCTCAAAGCCCTGCTGTGCCTATCCTCACAGAGCTGCTGGCATGCCCGGGTAGACCTGAGTTTCTCTAGAGGAGGAAAAAACATGTTTTTCTACAAAACCCTACAAAAGTTATAATATAAGTAATAATAAGTAAACATGATTCAAAATATCACCAGACATTCAAATGCTATCTTTCAGCAAATGACAGTTTTCCATACTATGTGCTTTTAGACATGTGCATATTAGACCAGTCTTTTTTTGAATAGACACAGATCTTTCTGTATACAAGCAGACTTCTGTTTGCTCATGGAAATATTCACTCACATGGCTGAAAATATTGCACTCCCCGGATGTCTAAAATCTGGCATACAGCAGAGAGAGAGAGAAAAACATTTGCAAGAAAGATTCTCCAAAAACGTTGCTCCCTCTGCCTGGTTTCTTTGTAATGTACATTAGCTGGACGTAACACCAGCATAGACATGACATCAGTACCGCAACAATTAGTAACAGCTGCTGTTGTACTGACTCATGTAATGATATAACCAGCAGGTCTAAACTGAATTTGTAATCATCTTCAGGTTGATTCTGGCTTCTGTAGTATTGGATATTTTGCATGGGCATTTCCTGTTCTGGACAAAGAACATATTGTGTTAGAGAGAGTGACGACATCTGCACAACATGTGCATCCCAGTGAAAATGTAATACAGAGTGAGTTGTCCCTCTGCCCCGAGGAGTTGAAAATGATAAAATTATCCCATCTCCTCCCGGATAGACACAGAGGAACATGCTGTTGTATTTTGAGAGTGTGTGTATGTATTTTACTCCCTGTGCCTTGTGGGATCTGCTACGATGTACTGAAAGCATGCAGACTTATATTCAAAACCAGCTGATTAAACTAATCTTGTCTTTGTACTGTTGGGTAGGAATTAGATACAACAACAAATAATGGTGAGATGTTCCTGGCCTGTAATTCAGTCTGCTTAGAGAAGCTGCCAATCAGCCTAAATGTAATCCTTTTGTATTACTTCCAATGGAAACTTGTAGTCAAACCGTCTAAATCCAGTCAAGAAAAACATTTTTGCTGCTGTGTGTGGGTTTATAGAGAGAAGATTAATCCTGACAGTAATGAATCTCTACCACCTCCCTTCAAACACATACATATAAAATGACGCATGCTGGATTATGTTTTATCAATATGTTTACTACAAGGCATTTCTCAATAGACAGCTTGTTAATCCCTGGCTGCCGTAGACTACGCACCTGCCAGTTAACCTCAGAGGAAAGGTGAAGCAGGCTTAGATTCTCCGCATGCCTTCCTGGACATACTGCCATATCTTCGTTTAAACCAAAACAACCCTGTTAAACCGGTAACATAGCTTCCTCGTGACTCCTATTTTTCCTCAAACATTTAGCTTTTGTCAGTTTATATAAACTAGCTTTCTCCAGATTTACAGCCCTCACCACTTCTCTGAGTCTTGATTTTTTCAGAGAGTCCCTTAACTCTCATCTCTGTAACCTCCTCTGTCAGCTAAATTACCAATCCTCCATCTTCTCGGCCCCTTCCATTCCTTTCTTTCCCCTATCCTTTCTGTGAGCGCACTCATTTTTCTAATCTCCTTATCTTACATCCACCTTATCTGCCTATCTTCCGGGCCCTCTTTCAACTCTTACACAGGAGCATGATGTAGAGCTGTGTGGAAACAACTCCAGTTAAATGGGGGACAAGAAGAAAAGAAAGAAAAAGGAAAACCGGTGATTAATCAGCGGTTGAATTGGCCCGCAGCCGACTAGACTGAGCATAGAAGAGGCGGTTTAGACAGGAAGGAAAATAAACAGTGAGGCTACTGTGAGTGGGTGGAGATTGAGATATACTACCACTTATATTACTGTACTCAGGACCAGTTTTTCTATTACACCTAGTAAATAAATAAAAATAAAACAATGATTGCAAGCTAAAAAAAAGCTGAGATTGTGTTGCAATATCATCTCACATACCTACAATATGCTCTGTGACTTCCTGCTTGGTACACACACACACACACACAAACACCTACTTAAACACGTTTTTTTTCCATACACTCACACATATTACTCACATCTTACAAGAGTATGAAATGCACATGCCCACCGTGTTCGCAGCTGCAGTCATTTCCCACTACACACTGCAGCTGTGAATAGACCCTAGGTGAGTCATACGCAGCAGCAGAATACATTCTTCCATAGGCACTGATTTCTATCTTCTGTACCTTTCCTACTAATGTTTCAGATGGAGTCTCAGTAGTTTCCTTACTGCTCCCATGGTAATCTCCCACTGTGAGTCATAGACAGATACTAGTGTGAACAAGGGAGGTTTATGTAAGACAGAGGGCCAAATAGTCAAAGAAAAGGGGAGTTTTTTTGATAAGAGGTGCATGTTGAGGGTGTGCGCCTGGCAGCTGTTTATCTAGATGACTCGTTGGATTGTGTAATCCTCAAGGGCCTCGGGGGTCTCTCCGTGTCGCTGGGTCCTCTGAGCTTCACCACAGTCGCTGCTACAGCTGTCAACTCCTGGCATCTATGACTCAAACAACTCCAATACTGAACACTTGGGAGGAGAAGGAAACTGATAATCATCCAAAGAACATTTCATGGCGGAGATAGTGCGGAAAAAAGTGAATGTGTCCATCTGCGCCTGAACGAAACCATCTGTGACTCCTTTTAGTTTCTTCTTTTTCTTGGCTTGTTCATTCTGATGGTGCACTGTGTTATATAAGTTTAAAGGTGACTCTTGCCTGTGTTTGTGTGTGACCGTCTGGATATGGGCCATGAAACCATACACCTTACCACGCCCTATAGGTCCGCCGGCGTCATGAAGCTAAAACCTTGTGGGAGTTTTACTGACCTGCCCTCTACAACAAGCACTCCTCAGATTACACAAGTTAAGATACCAACAGTTTGTGTATGAGCAGTTTGTTTTATCTAATGTGTTTCCTCTGTCAACAGCATCACAGTGTAAGGATGGTGTGACACTCAGACAGACGGAACAGTCACCGCTCTCCACTCACAGGCAGACCATGGCTCCCAAGTGTCTCCTTTTCCTGGGCTTCCTCCTCTCCTCCCTCCATCCTTCAGTTGCCCAGACCATCATTGGCTCCTCTTCTTCATTCTCTGCTCCGGACCTGCCTAATAATTCCTCACCTCACCCTACAAAGCAGACTGCTGGATTCTGGCCTTCTTTCCCTCCCAGAGGGCGCACTGATGTGCCTATCAGAGCTACAGTCCAGGATAGACAGAAAAATACTAATGCAGTGCAACAGGGGCGAACAAGCCGTCCTATCCCACAGTTCACTCCTCCATTAGTATCTGCTTTATCCACGCAGAACCTCAGCAGTGGGCTAATTTTAACTCAACCCACTGCCTCCAGGTCCAGAACTGATACAGCTGGTTTAGCATTGAACGGGGCTTTTGTAAAGGAAGATACTACTACAAAAGGCTCAATTCCACCTTTGCCAACTTTCCCCTCTGCTGCTTTCACTGAGTCTACAGGTGATAAGCCAGTGACAGCAGGACATTCAGAAGAGGGATCACCCAAAGAGACGGAGGATGAGGATTTACACGGGCTGGGATCAGGTCATATTCCAACGGTAATGCCTGTGAAGGAGGAATCATCTGTTCCTCAGGCAACGGTTGAGGATGAAATGGCGCAGTATGAGCCACAGGCACAGACGGCAAACGCTTTTGATGTAGAAACACCACCAGAGGGAAGTCAGGCTATGAACCCTTACCTGCCTGTGCTTACAACAGCCGGTAAAATCTCTACAACGCCACAGACTGAGACAAGAGCCACCCCCTCCCCTGTGGTTACCCAGGCAACTGTAGTATTAACAGGTGAGATATCAAATATATATATTGCTGTTGAGGTAAAATTATTTACACCTTACCACAATTGTGTCTTATCCACCCTTTTGTAGGTAAACTGACAGAGAACACTCCTTCCACCGTGAGAGCTACTCCAAAGCAGGCTGCTGTGACACTGCCCCAACCCACAACTACCACCACTGGCTCTAAACAGTCACGGGCTGAAGAACAACAAACCACAACACAGCAAGTAACAACCACATCTACAAAAAGTGTGCTTACTACAACACAGGAGGCAGTGAGAAAACTCACCAAAACAACACCTCAACCCAACGAAATGGAACATCTGGGAAGAAGTACATCTAGCCCAACTATACAGTCTTCAAGTACAGGTAAGATATTTATATATTTTACTTCTATACTTGCCTCCTTTATCCTTGATGATTTAAAATTGAATTATTTATGCAGCTGGAACTTTTTTACTGGAAGACCCTGGGAAAGGCTTCAAAGGAGGGAACATTCAGAGGCACTTTTCCATGGAAAGTGGGGTGGTAGTTGTGTGGGATAGACACAGCGAGGGAAGAAAGTATGAGCAGGAGGTGAGAGGGAGGGTAGAGGAGGGGGGCAGTCATGCAAAGAGATAGACAGGGGGAAAGTAAGGATCTGAGAAAGAGGCAGTTGGGAATACAGATGAGAGTAGATGGGGTGGTTGAAAGTGTGATGGAAGAAAGGCATAGCAATTCAGGGAGTGGGGATGGAAATGAAAACCAGATGCACAGAGAAAGGGATGAAGTGAGTGGGGTTTAAAACAGAGATGGAAAATAAAAAAAGTATGACACACGGAGGGCATAAGCCATTCTCTTAGATACCATAAAAACAGCGTAATAATGACTTTTAAACAAGTCTTCACATAGATCATTTAAATGATGAATATCCTGCATCCATGGCAATACCTGTTTGTATTGAATGCAAATATCTGTCCACATTTATATCAGGGTCACAAACATATAACTGGGTGTCGATGGAGAATGATATTTTTTTATTTCAACATGTGGACATTTAAAGCAGCGTAAGCAGTGTGTTGAAGAAAAGAAAAACTCAAGGGTAGCAGTAAGTGTGTCCAGCTGTGAAATGTGATCAGCACATCTGGAATGTGTCTGGATCTTTCTCCTGTACGAGGAAAAACAAAACGGGGTTTGAGGGAAGGAAGTAAAACATACCTTTTTATATAAATAAAGAAGTGTGTCTGTGATCTGTATGCAGTGCTCGCCTATGTGAAAGTGAAACGTGTGTGTGTGTGTGTGTGATTGGAGGGATGGAGCTAGGGGGAGAGCCAGGAAGTGAAACACATGTTGGAGTGAGTCATTAGTCAGTGTGTCAGCTTTATGGGTGTCATCTACACGGAGAGGACGTGCTTAACGTCCTCCAAGCGGCTGACTGCTTAAGTCATTTGCCACACATCATCGTGTTCCACCATCCATCAAGTTTTAAGGTTAAATGTTACTTTAGACATAATTCCCGATAGATACCCTTTAGCTACGACTGTTTCTTAGGTCTGCATCATCAACGTTATAGTCATTATCTTATATGTCCTTGCTGTCTTCCTGTAATGTAGTAGTTGTTTTATTTCCATTATATTAATTTAGTGTTGTATAGGTTTTTGTAATATGTAAATGGTCTGCAAAAGCTACAATCCCAAAGTTCCCTGCAGAGGGAGTTTCTCTCCCACACACTCCCTGCCTGAAACACATCCATTGGACTCCTTTGTTTACTTCTATAACATGGTGACATCACAATGTAACAACACCCTTATATTAAATAGTGCTCGAAAACATTGTATGTGATAGGCAAAGGGGCGGGGCATCTCTAAGCCATTGACCAATCACAACAGAGCTGTCCAGCTAACCATTAGAGCAGACTGGGCTCTGGTTTCAGACAGAGGGTGAAAAGAGGTGCTGCAGCACTGGCAGTATGAGAAAGACCCTTTTTAAACATTACAAACACAAAATAGGTCACAGTAGAGGCACAAAGTACAAATATGTTAAATTAATAAAAATAAAACTTTAAAGTATTGCAGTATACAATATTGCACTGTTATCATCCACATGAGTTTGTGCCGGTCAATATGTTTTTTTTGCTTTTTGTTAACTTTACATATGAGTATTTCACAAAGGGCTCAGTGATGAATGATGATTATAATGCTGTGGGTGTTTCCAGAGTTATACAGGAGGATTAGGTGGAGTGCCTTGAACAAACAGAAGTATGCGTGTGCATGCACAAAATGAAAGAGAGACATGAAGACATAATCAGACGTCAAGGTGTTTGAGGTAGTCATGCATTGAGAAAGAATTCTTTAGGAGAGTTTCCGTGACTGCTTTGTGGCACTGATGTGTCTTTTGTTGTTGCGTAATGTAGATCCTCCTCGTTAATTATATAATCTCATCCAATTTAACCACACAATTACTTTTCAGTAATCCTGAGGAGTTTAGCTCAACATAATGTATTATAAATTCAATGTGGTGGCATAGTGTACAAATCATACTGAGATTTAAGACAGCTTCTACAGGATCTTCCCCACCTCATTTTATTTGTTCAATACCCTAATGTAAATGACATAAGACTGTATGTGTTAACATTGTTCTTATATTTCATGCTACTAATATTTGATGTTAGTCCTCAATTGTTTTTATTACCTGTGAAGTTTTATGTGACATATTTATCTATCATTTAATCATTCTCCATCAATTCTGCTCACACAAAGAGGCACTGTTTTTGGTTTAGGTCTGCTATTTCAAAGCCATGTTTTTGGATACAATGATAAAGCTGATGAGTAACTTTACAAAGATCTGATACCTAAAACAAAAACGAAAAGGAAGAAATTTACATTTTAAAAGATTTCTTAAATAAAAATGATTGAGTGTGCAGGTCTGATACTGGGCTTATTTTATTAGACTGTGTCTTCATACTTATAAATAGATCTGGGACAATGTGTCTGTGCAAACCCATTAAGTTACATTGAGAACTGCAAGATGGTCCTAGCTCATGACTTGTGATGGTGAGCTACACACCTCTAGTGGTTCTGAATAGTACTTTATGTACTGTTATACTATTGCACTGCTTTTCAGATAAATGGCATTTTAAAAGGTTTTCTTGAAAATCCAACCTCTCTTTCTCTTTTTGTAGGGACCTCCACTGGTGTCATGCGAACAAGACTAAGCCCCACATTTCAGGCTGATATTGTTAAGAGGAACCGCTCCGTTCTCCTTGGACATCCAGCTCCACACACTACCTCTAACCCAGCCCCGTCCCCCAGCCACAGCCCCTCCTCTAACGGCACACTTCTCTACTGGGGTGATCTGAGCCGGACGCTGGCATTCGCCTGGGAGCTGCATGTCTACGGCTCCGTGAGCCTCTTCCTCCTCCTGTTTGCTGGAGCGGCTCTCGGCCTCACCCTGTCCCCCGGCGCAAACTGTCCTCATCGGGGGGCTCTTGCACTGGCCAATGCACTTTTGTTTCTTGCTGGAGGCCTCAGGGCGGCTCTTTTTCTGATGGACCCCTATGGCACCAGGAAGTTCCTGCCTCGCCCCGCGGTTACTGCCCTCTATAACCTGCCTCTCCACCTGCTGGTGTGGGCACAGGCTGCCCTGGCACTGCTGGCTTTGAGGGTGGCAGGAGTGAGTGTGTTACCTTCCTCTTTGGAGCGTCCCCCTCTGGTGGCAGTGCTGGCTGTGTTGCAGTGCACCCTGCTGCTGGCCGCTGATCTGCTGTCCCCAGCCCTGTCCCCTGTGGTGCCCGTCACCCTGCAGGTCATGGCCCTGTGCTGGGGCCTAGCTCTCTGTCTGGGCTTCCTATGCTATGTGTTTCCCCGTTTACGCTGCCCTACCATACCCCACCATGGAGTTCCTGAAGAGGCCAGGAGGAAGGCTTGGACAGGGAGCAGGAGGACAGGGGTGATCCTGGGGAGGGTGCTGGCAGTGTGTGCAGTCCTGGGGGCCCTGTGCTGTGGGCTACATGTCCATGCCACCTTATGGCTCTATGGACTGCTAGGGGACTGGACGCGCTTCAACTGGGGTTGGTGGCTGGTGCACTTCTGGGCCCGGCTCCTTGAGCTGGCCTGGGGATTCTCCCTCCTCCTCCTGGGCTCCTGGGTGTTCTGGAGGCCGCAAGGTTGTCATGGAAGAGAGGAGGGGGGACCGGATGGCAGGGCAGCAGGAGACTTGCCATCCCCTGGCCAATCTACAGGCTCCTCTCAAAGACACACCTGCTGGTCCAAGATAGTCCAGAGCCTGAGGGGGAAGCCCTGTAAAAAGTCTGACAGTAATGGGGTGGGAGGAGGAGGAAGTGGAGGTGGAGGAGGAGGAGGAGGAGGGGGACCAGGGGAGGTGCCTAACAACTGGGCTGGTCAGGAGCGTCCTGGAGCTGACATCAGCAAGAATCTGATCAGGAACCAGAACCACGAGCAGGCCACGGCCCAGCCACGCTGCGTCAAAGACAGCAACAGGGGACGCAACAATAGGGGCCACTCTGCTGAGCGGGTCCTCTCTGACGGCTCCACAGGTTCCCTGCTCAGACTTCAGGCGCTGGGCCGGCCCCCTCAGCGCTCTGTGAGCGGCAGTCTGGATCTGGAGGGGGACACTACACTGTCTCTTTACGAGTTCGACCTGCGGCCCCCATCACCTATTGACCTGACCCGCAGCATTGACGAGGCGCTGCACAGGGAGTACCTGCTCGGAGGAGGAAGCTTGTTTCACCCTTTTGCCCAAGCCTCACAGTGCCCCTCCCCGGGGTCAGGGGTCAGTCAGGGTCCCTGGCTCCGCAGGAACAGTGATCCTCAGATGCTTTCTGATAGCAGCGAGGCAACAGAGTCTTCAATGCCACTAGGGGGCAGCGTGCTCAGCAGTGTCCCCAGCAGACAGGTGACTGCTCCCCCCACGCCCTCCCACCAGGGTAACAGGTGGCCTGGGAACGCGATGGGAAGCGTCCCTTCATCAGTGTCCTGCCCTGTGTCACTTCGTCCCTCCAGAACGTCAACAGGGGATCTGGGGGAGGACGGAGTGGACGACACGCGTCCGTTCATCACCCCAGACTCAGAGAGGGTGCGGGGGAGGGCTGGGAGGCCGGCGGGGTCGCGGAGTTACCTGGAGGTCAGCCGACATGACGACTCTGCCAGTGTCAGCAGTGAAATCATTGATCTATGAACCAAACTTTGGACATGAGGACCAATTACCACACATTAAACACCCATTTAACAAAAACTTTTCCTGATCAAGACTTCAAACAAATTGGGAACATTTGATCATTGCCTAAGAATGAATCATTTTTAGAAAAGGGAAACTATTCAAAAGTGTCTCTTGGTGATGACCTTAAAGGATATCACCTAGTCGCCTTTTATCTTGTTAAAGGATTTAACATCTGTGTTTGGGAAAAAATATATGTTATACCTTTACTCTGGGAGTAAAATTGGAAATATAGCACAGACAAATGTCACGACACACTCATCTTTCTTTCTCTCTCACACTCACACACACGCACGCACACCTACACACACACACAAAAACATATCTCCTTTGTTTTTATGTTATTCTCTCGGACACGCCTGCAAAGCACTGGTGTCGTCTCCAGTAAATCGAGAACAGACGCGCATTACAACAATTCCTTGATAGGATTTTTGCAGATCCCTACAAGTAATGCGTGTGAAATGCGTAGTGAATGTATTCTTCCCATGTCCGGGAACAGCACTGAGAGGTTCAATACATTTCAAGGGTAGGAAACAAAGGCTCCAAGCATCTATAAGTCCCATTCCTATTGTTTTCGTGAAAAAATGTCTGCATATCAACAATTATGGATTTCATTGCCCTCATAGTTTATTTGCGGTCTCCCTTATTTGAAGTTGCTTTGTAATGTAAAGATGTGCCATACATAACCTTGGATGGTTCTGCGTTATTTTTATGGATCTATAAACCCATTATTTGGGTTAACTCTCACGAGCGTCTTGCCAGTATCATAGTGACTCAGCAACAGATCACTAAGCTCCTAATGTGCTGCTGTGTTCATCCAGTCTTCCTTCAATGCTGTTAAGCTGGTTACATTAAGAGGTACGTAGTTAAACATGACAACAAACATGCAGATGCATGCTTGTTTGTGAAACTGTTGCTGAAGCTTTTAGCTGTAGCTCAACTGCACAATGAACATCAAGCATTGACCTGTGAGGTTAATGCATTTTATCTTGTCATTTTGCTGTAGGACCAAGCTTTTGCCAACAGTAATTATTTACAATTAAAGCCTCTGACTGCATTTTTACGAGATTTGAAGAAAAATATTACGGGATTTTAAGAAAAATATTAAACATAATCACAATCCTACCAATTTAATTAAATTATTCAGACTGGTTGATATGTTAAAGAAGCAGTGTGTAGGAGTTATGGGGATCTATTGGCCAAACATATAATGAGCCTTTCATACCTACAAAAGGAGTGGATCCTCTTTCGTGGAGTCCCGCCACTTGTTGCAGAGCTATGTTTCTGCCAAAAACAAACAAACACAGGCTATAGAGAAGGATTTAGCTTTCTATGTACCCCAAAAGACCATTATAGGTGCTTATACACACTTTGAAAAGAACAGTGAGCAGGAGGGTTATTTCCTTTGGTTTGCTATATGCACGGCACCCTCACACCTGCTCCTAAACGCCCCACAGCTTTGCAGGCTGCACACATGAGTCTGGCTTGGGCATGAATCTCAGATCTCGTATAATTAGACTCTGACTCAATAACCAGAGCACTTAACTGTAAGCTCTGGCACTAGACTAAAGTATTTTTAGCTCTCGAGAAAAGATATCTTCAAATATATCATGTATAACAACAATTGTAAATATTGTTTATTTTTTTTGATGTCCATGAATAACAAGGGTGTATTTGAAACATAGTTGTTTCTACTGTGAAAGACAATCTAAAGTGGTATTGCTTATGTTGCCAAGCTGTGCAGACAAGTTATGCCCTATTGCTATTTCAACATCAATTTCGACCGTTCAGTTAACTAACTTACCTCAGAGGTCTTTCCATGAATCTGAGTTGCTCCCAAGATTAATTGACGCTGGCTTCAAATGAATAACGGATGGCCGAGATCGCAGGATTTGTAATTCTCTATTTCTGTTGAATTACGACAACGCTTACAGAAAAAATGAAAAACAGAGCACTTAAATGAACAATATTTAATGAT